TTCCCTTCTCTGACAGATGCACCCCATCAGCCCCTAGCAGACCAGGTTTCTCAAAATGAGTCCCATGGTCTAAGTAGTTGAACCCTTGGCTGTGGCACCAGTCCTGTAACCATTTGTTGATTCTCCAGATTCAACTGCATTTTCAAGCATTAATATAATATTTGTGTGTTATTGCTAGCAATACAGATGATTTAACAAAGTCAGGGTTGCAATATCCTCATAAGCAATTCTTCTAATGCTTTGGTGAAGTGTGTCAGCCTATTTGGCTCTGCTTGTCACAGACTCAAAATCCTGATCATCCAATCAAACTATTTCTGCCCTGGATTCTGTATGGATGTTGGCCATATTTGATACTATATTTGATTTTTAATGTGAACATTCTCTGTGTACCCCAAATCTACTACTATTCATAATGACATACCCCTGTATAGCTTGCTGTCATATAAAGCATACATACATCTACCAATATAGACTCTAAGAAATATGTACCACCTGGACAGCACTGAGTGTTTTAAATAGTTCAGAGTTATAGATCAATGTATTTCAAATCTGCTGCACTACCAGAAGAGAGTAAATGCACCTGTGTACAGCTGTGAATAAAGACAATATGTATACAGTACATCCTGAAGACTTGAGAGACCCAGGTCTATTTAAATAAACTGAGGGAACCTCATTACAGCTATTTTCTTTCATAGAGGGTACAGATGTGAACCTCTGCAGACAAAGATCTGCTGTTTTTAGGGTCAGGATCGTGGAAGCTGCCTGAGGCCAGGGAGGAACAGGTTCTGCAAAACCTTTTGTCAGAGGAGAGGCTGGAGAAGTCTCCTTAAACTTGAACATTACTCTGGGGAAAGTTAAACCAATCCATAACTTAGCTGCCTACAGAACCTGAATAGGAAAGTGGTCTGAAGTTTGCCATTTGGTTTTACCACTGCTTTGCACTTCCCAGTCAATATGACTGTGGCGTGAAGAGGCTGTTAGCCCCTGCAGTCTGAGAAAGAGCATGTGTGAGGCAGTGCGTGCCTCCAGACCAAAAGGCCATTGCGTCTGGGGTCACAAGTTATTTAAAATTCTTTTTTTCATACCGCTAGAGTTGTTTAAATGGTTATGGGCAACATACTGGACTATAAACACCCATACTTGTGTATTTATTTTTCTTTTGTCAAAATCCATTAAAAAATGTCTGGACAAGACTGAAGAGCCCTGGCCCGGGTATCCTCCTGTGATAACACCACCAGCCTGGCTGCGCCGATCTGCTACCTCACTCAGCAGCAGAGTTTTACTCACTCACATCACCTCTGCTGACTTCACGTCAGTTAAAAGGAATCCTAGGGGGAGTGACACAGATCTGATGAGCCCAGACAGCTGAGCCTGTGGTACTGCAACTTGGGGAGCTGTCTCAGGCTCTCGTCTGCATGTTTCACTCTTGTACTTCAGGAGCCATTTCAGTAATGCCCAGATCCAAGCATCTCTGGCCCTGAACATCTCAGATTCATGGGGAGCTTGAAGATCAGCTTCTCAACTTCATCAGTGATCACATCTCTCTTAAATCTGGAAAAAAATGCATGTCTGGTGATAAGAAATAAGAAGCCTACCTTGGGGGGCAGGGGTCCAGGCTACAGGCTTTCAGCAGCTGTGGAGGACGGCGGCTGGTAACACATAACATCTCGTCTGCAGTCTCCCTGGTTTGTTTGTTCAGGCAGGCCACCACAGCCTCCTGGACACCTGCACACAACAACACATGGTCACAGCCGGCTCTCCATACCTGGAGGGGCAGCCAAGGGCAGAGATGGGCCCAGCAGGGCCAGGCGGGGCTGCGCTGGGGCTGCTGCATGTGGGGAAGCACAGCCTCACACCCAGGGCTGCTAGCTCAGGGCATGCAGCCCTGGCTGCAGAGCATGAGGAGGCTCCTTCCCACATGTTGGTGAGGTGTTTTCTGTCCACATCCAAGTGCTCTGCATGACAGTATTTGAGGAATATGGTATGTCTACCAAAGGGGAATGTTTCTTGTCACAGCGTACCTGTGTGAGTAGGAAAATTGCAGTTCCTTTTCTCCCTTCTATTGGGAAAAGCTTTCATCCCTAACTCTTGTAATTTTCCAGACATAGGCATACATTGCTTACTGCAACATTTGTATCCTGTTCCCCAGCCAGCTGTGAGTTGATCTGATCAAAAAACCACATGGGATGCTGGGCTTTTACTTGCCCTTGCTTTCAGGCTCACTAGGTGTCATGATTGCAATGAAAAGTCCCTAGGTTCATTCACCACTTACTGTCCCTGACCAGAAAATTGTCTAGTGGTCTCTAGTGACTGCACCCTTTCACTATGAGTGCAATAAGGCTGTTTATTTGTCAGTCAAGCAGGCTAAGTTGTGAAGATGGCCTTGACTTCAGCATGCTACATTTTAAGCAACAGTATGATTGCTATATGTGCAAAAGTAAAGTAAAACAAAGTCAGACAATTCATCTGCTCTCCATTACTCTTCTGCATCCACAGACCTGCACCTAACCGAAGATGCAAACCTGCAGGGTGTATGTGAGAGCTGGGGCAGAACAACAGTAGCTGTTGGGACTAAGAAACGCTGGAAGATTTGATGATTATGTTTTAACTCAGGAAATCCTTGGTGATACCAAATTCCTTATGTACTTTTTGGCATACCAGTTACTCTGTCTCAATTTTCCTATAAGTAAGGTAGGAATATTACTTTTTTTTTTTTGATCACAAGGTTAGAAAGCTAGAAAATCAGGGATTGCAACACTACCTGGTATAGGAAAGAGTACTTAGTGAGAGAGGATCTACTTCTTCCCTAGGGGGTCTAAGAATAATAATTGGTCTGAACTTCCTAAAAATCCAGTCCATAGTGGTTCAAGCAAAGTGGAACTATGATTTTTACTTTCATCCATACTTCCTGAGTTAGGAAAAGATTAGCTGAAATCATAACAATTGCATCATTTTCTCAAAACCAGCAATTAGTTTTCCAAAATATCTCACAATCTTTTGAAGACACCAATGTTAAAAAAAAAAAAAAAAAAAAAAAGTTGTTGGAAGAGCTTGAACAGCTCCAAGAACAGTGTAACAGAACTGACAGTATCTTTTGCTATTTCTAATGCCAGATCACATGTTGTTAGGGAAACTATGATACCATATTATTCAACAGGACCAGAGTGCTGCAACTCATCATAGTTCTCATACTCCTGAAATTATTCATGGATTCATTCCTCTTATCCTCAGTACAGACTGAGGAGAGGCCCACAGCAAAGTGGTACGCTGAATAATTGGCTCCTATGTGTGCAAGCCTATTCAGGTTGTGCTTATGACTCAAGGATAAGCAGTGTCTCCACTGTACTCAACGTGCTGAAGGGAAGAAAGAAATTTGACATTTTTTGACATATAACATCAACACCAAAATTACCAAATCCCTGAAGTCAGACACATTATAGAATCATAGAATCATTTAGGTTGGAAAAGACCTTTAAGATCATCCAGTCCAACCATTAACCTAACACTACCAAGTCCACCACTAAACCAATTAAGGGTAAAGTAGCAATTTCATGTTTCCTGGCTTGGTGGCTGGATTATTTATAATGAAAGTAAAAACTAGGAATCATTTATGTTGGAAAGGATCTCTAAGATCACCAGTCCAACCATCAACCCAACATCATCATTGTTGTGGGTTTCCTTGTTTACAAGGTGGCCCCATATTTTCAAGGCATTTTGCTATTCAAGTAATCTCCAAAAAGACTCAAAGAAATTGTAAAAAGGATAGCCCATTGAAAGAATAAAACAAATGGTAGTGATTTATCTCCAGGATAGGAAACTGATGAAATTTCTATACATAAACAATATGTTCTCTACCCTATTGTGTTCAGTACCTTTCCACCTCAATCATTTTTCTGTTGAGCATGTTATCATATTGTGTAGACCAAACAGAGGCATATGGATTCCCCAGGACAGACTGCTCCTGGCTGCAGAACAGAGGTGGTTCTCTGTCTGATGGCAAATGGCACTGTGTTCAAGTTATTGGTCTGTACTTTGCATTGCATCACTTGTGCAGGTCTGACAGCAAGACCAATCTGACGAAGCCAGGAGAGAAGGACTGCTAATCCACAGGTATGGACATTAGGAAAGTACTCTTCTTAAATCTGAAAGAAACCACTGAGTCTTGCCACATGCTGTGAGATCATTCTGTTTGCTATGGATACAGCTCACTCACCATCTGTACGTGATGGATGTTTTTCTTTTCAGATCAAAATTTTGTAAATTGAGTGTACTTCCACAGTTTCAATTTCTCTTCTCTGAAGTGTGTCACTAATGAGCTCTTAACCAATGATTATCAATTACCTTAATGCTTTTGCATTGTCTGTTTCAGTGCTGACTATCCAAAAGTGATTGACTGCGAGGTCTTGAATTCAGCCTTTTCTTTGTTTCTCAGTCTGATGGTTTTGTTTTATCAAATTCATATAGCCAAGCTCTGATACTACTACTCTTCAATTTTCAGTATTCAACCTGCCCCAAACCTCCCAGTGAGTTCATCCCCCATGTTTATTCCTGCCACCTAAGTCATCTCTAATTATATTTCCAATAATTTTAGTCTATTCTACCAGCATTCTACTCTGTTCATTATAATTGCCTTTCAGAGATGCTTATAACTTTTTACCTTTTAAAGGTATCGGTAGGACCAGTAGTCTTGCCTGACAGCATGGGTATTGAAGAAAAAGTCTCCTGCCTGAATTTAACTGGTCTGTGGTTGCTAGACTGTGTGTTGATGGAAGTTTCTGGCTCTAATAGCTTGTGCCAGTGACTAAAAAAAAAAAATCTGGCTTGCCTCAGCAACAAACAAATGTGCTCAAAATCACTTTCCTCAGCTTCTCCTTGAATCTTGCACTGAGTGCGTCTCAGCATACTGATAACATATGTCCCTCTGTTTTTGATAGGTCAATGCACCAAATGGTTATAAGCTTTAAATCAAGGATTGCTCATTGAACGTTTAGAGAATATAAAGACCTTTGATTATCCATCGGAAGTTCCACAGTACAGAGATAATTAAAAAAATATATGAACTTCAGGAAGTTTATTCGCCAAGTAACTGAATTCTAAACATTATTTACCGCACAATATGACCAGAACAAAAAGCTGTTTGCTTTAAAATTGCTTTCCCTGAAAAAAAGAAATCAGTTCTCAATAGGAAATCACAGTATAAAAGGGTGTAAGGGTGGGACATGAATCTAGGCAGTTTAAGTTCATTTTCAAAGTACCATCAAATGAGATTTTCTGTGTTTATATCTACCAGAATAGAATAATTGTTACATGATATTTGATGACAGCTCTGGGAAATGCAGCCACTAACAGCAGACTAAATGACTAACTAATTCCTTCTGGTTGCTACTTCTGGGAGGTGAAAGGTTACTTCTGCATCTATCCAATTTCTTCTCTTGAGACTCCAAAACCAACAAAATTAGTTTGACTGGTCTTGCACCTATGGCTACAAAAATATCTGACTTAGCATCTCCTAGTCTTGAAAATTTGGAGTTCATGTCAGACAAAAAGAAATCTTGGCTAACAATTTTTGCTGACAAATGAAAGAGATTAAATTTATAAAGCAAAATGTCTCTGTCATATCAGTCTCTGTGAGTTATATATGAAAAATACACACATAGTCACTACAGTCAAAGAAATTACTTCGTTTCAAGAGGATATTTCTAGAAGCTATTTGGGTTTTGGTGTTCACAGTGTAAGCGTGACAAATTGTTCCTGCTTGCTAGTAGCCTCAGTATATGACAGATACTCCTGTAAAGTCAGTGTTTGTCACCACTTAGCATACCCTAGTGTCATATTTTTTATGTAGGAAACAAAGCAATAGTGGCAATGGTCTGACAACTCTGTGTGAATGGCTCTAAACACTGTCTACTGTCAGCAACCTAAAAGTAAGCATAGAAAACCTTTGCATTATTTTCTGCTACTGTGTTTTTTAAGTTTGTAACTGATTACTGGTGAATCCGTGCAGATCACACTATTAACCATTCATAAAGCGCTGAGTGGTTTCCAGGTCTACAGTATCTATTCTGTATTTATCTATAGTAATCCTTTTTAAAATAGCCTGAAACTTGCAATGGAAGAAGACAGCAGCTGGAGAAGCCTACATTTAATTTAAAAAATACCAGAGTGGACATATTTCTTAGAACTAGCTAGACAAAATTGTGGGAAAAAAATGATATCAGAGAACTGTGCGTTAAAAATCTATAACATGTAGAACCTGAGACCTTGATTAACTTTGAGAAACTCCAAGTGCCAAACCTGCTAGCTTCAGACAATCACTCCATTAGTGCTTTTTTATCATATGTTTTCTTTTGCACTGGTATTGGAGCTAATGTCACTTAGTGATAGGAGTTAGGGAACCGGCTGAGTGCTTAGAATATCAATAATTTAATGCATCTGTGATGGGGGGACAGTTTACTTCCACATGTTTATACTTGCACAGTACAAATCCAGAAATAAAAACTAAAAATGGCATGTGATTCTTAGCCTGTATCACCAGACCACTTTAACATTCAGCTTTTTTGTGTGAGTGCCTTTTGAGTGCTCAGGTGATACAATGAAACAGAAATATGTGATACATTGATCACTCTAGGTGACAGCCTGAGCATGGAGCCTGAAAAGTCCTGGACTAAAATACATTGTGCACATTTTTTTTTCACGGTTTTCATCCATGCCTTTTCAAATACATATGGACGCAATGATCTCATGGTTGGACTTGATGATCTTAAAGGTCTTTTCCAACCTAAATGATTCTATGATTCTAAATAGCGGTAGCAAAGTAACATGTCCACGGGCGTTAGCTACAAAGCGCACTCTTGAAGAGGGAAAGCAGATCCAGCACAGAAACATTTTGCACTTACCTCCTCCACAGGACTCTGAACACTCTGTAAAGCCCTCATATTCCCAGTCGTACAGCTCATCAAACTCCTGCAAGCTGCCATACAGCAGCTCAGTTTCCTCTGGCGTATATTCGGTCGCCTCCCCACTGCAGGGACCACTGTAACAGGCTCTCTGAGACACAGGTTTGGGACCTTCACATTCATCGATGGGCAAGTCAGCCACAGACTGAGAGAAAGAGAGGAGCACTTGACATTTCACAAGCCGCACCTGGCTGCCCACTCCACAAGTGACACTACAGGTGGACCAAGCCTCAGGAATAAACCTGTGAGAGGAAGAAAGCAAGGGAAGTTATGTGCACAAACAGCCAGACAAGCAAAAGCAGTATAGTCCTGTCCAGGCCAAATTCTGTTTAATGAGAAACAAATGATTCACCTCATCATATGGCTATTATGGAATACACATAAGAGCCATGACATGTTGTTGACAACTGAATGGCGACAGTTGAAGGGCTCTCAAGTACTCCTTATAAATATATATATGTCTCCGTATATAGAGGAAGAAATACGCACACTTAGAGCGCCTGCCTTGATCCTAAAACATCTCAGTGTAAGGCATCCTGCAATCTGCCAATGTGCATCATGATCCCACTAGCTACTTTTTGCTAGTAATCAGACCAGACCACCTTTGCCTTAGCTGATATCACAATTACATCACTCACAAGTATTGAACAGGCTGCCGTTATCATTTAGTTGCAGTATTACAGGGAAAATAATTTCCACCATTGTTCCTGTATTGCAGTAACCATTTTTAAGCCCTAATTTGAAGCCATAAAAAAGATAAAGAACTCACTATTTCTTTAGCTGCTGCACCCCTCCAGCACATTTAATTTCCCTTCTCATTAAAAAAACAGTGTTCCATTTCTATTCTGGATTTCTCTGGTTGTTGCTCTTGTCTCACTGATGAGGAACCTTTACATGCTCCAAATTTTTGCCTCTGAAAGTCCACATGTACTTCAATAAAAGCACCTTGCAGCCATCATTACAATAATCAAACCAGACTGAATTCTGTTTAGTTTTGTTTTGGTTTAGTTTGGGTTTTGTTTGGGTTTTTTGGTTTTTTTTTTTTTTTTTTTTTTTCCCCTCAACAATAGAATAATTTCTCATTTTTTCTGTGTTGTTGCCCCTTTTCAGCATCTTAAAAAAAAATCAGTGCTGGAAATTGGCCTAGCATTTTACTCAAAATAACATCAAGCAGAACATTCACATTCAACTCCATACCACATCATTACCACCTTGTTTAAATGTAACACACCTTGTTTTGCTGAGCTCATGTTGATCTATGCTGATTCCTAAATCTTTCTGGAAACAATGGTTCCAGGGTACTCCATGACCTACATTATTTATGCTTATATACCTGATGTTAGTAGTATTAAAGCACTGCAGTAATGAATCCAGGTTACAGGGTGATTCAGATAGCTTTGTCTGACTGTCTTGTCTTCTCTGTTGGCCATTCTGCCAAACTTTCTGCCATGGGCAAATTCTAAGACAGTGGTTGTAGATATACTTCAAGCGCTGGAATAGAAGAGTGACTAGTAGGATCTGGCACTGATTCCTTAAGAACTTCACAGGAACAATCCCTGTTGATAACACTCTCCCATCAACAGTAAGTGTTTGGGATCTATCAGCTCCTTCAAACTCAGCAAGTTTTTTTTTACTGATATTTTTGAATGCTAATTTAATGAACTGAAAGCTTTGTGTGATAGCATCAACTGCCTGACAGAAGTTTAGATCTTTCAGCACATAATCATATGCATTAGATGAATTTATCAAATAAATCAGAGTTTACAGGATGTATTTTTGATTAAAACATGGCTGTCATTGACAGTATTCCTCTCCTTTTGGTCTTTATTTAGACAGGCCACACCAGACTTAGGCAGCTTTGCCCAGGGCTGAAGGCATTTTCTATGGTCTAGGGCTACTCAGGTCTATAGGAAACTCATTTCTCAGCTTGAGAATCCCATAGGAAGAAAAAAGAAATTTAGTTTTGTGATCAGCATCTTCGAAAGCATTTTTACGTGCTTCTCTTTTTCATCTACTGCCTTTCTCTAGTTGACAAAAGGACTTTCCCTTCATTCTGGGGTTAAAACAAGGATCCAAAACTAAGAAAGGATCCTGGTGCCCCCCCAGGATGTATGTACCAGGATCCCTGACTGGAACAGCATAGTTTTCTAGAGCAGAGAAGTGTGCATCTCTTTACCTACTTTTTGTGGGTGTTTATAACATCTTGTTATAAACTGCTAGTGTACACAGGAAATAATGGAAAGAAAAGAAATAGATTGTATATATTATTGCAACATTTGAAACTGTTTATAATTCTGCTACAAAGACCACAAGATTTCTTTCTGGAGCACAGCCTTTGGGAAACAAATGATGCAAGGTGATTCCGTTTCCCTACTCTGAGACATTTTACCTTAAATGATCGGTCTTGTTTCAAAGATGTTATCCTTCATTTTGAAAGGATTATAGTCTTTAACAGTACAGGTGGGCCACTCATCTTGTTTTCTCTAAGACTGTGCAACTGCTATAATACTATTTTGATGTGGAAAATCTCCTGTCACAGACTGAACAGCCCATGCCAGCCACTGTGACTTAGATATTTTGATTAGTTTAAATGTATAGCTTCTTGACCTGACAAACTAGGAGGTAGAAATCCTAATCAGGTTACAAAAGAAGTGCACTGGTCTTCATCAGAAGCTGTCTTCCTTATATTTTTTAATATTGTGAATTGCTGAGTAGCTTTGCTTTTGTTGAAGGGTTGCTGTATCCCAAACCAAAAGGGATGATATTTTGTCAAGTGTTAAAATTACTCACATAGAAAAACAGAGATACTTCATATGCTGGGAATACTGACATATGATGTATATCACACATACAAACACAGGAACAAAAGAGAGAGGACACAAAAGGGAAGTAAGAACATTATTAAAGTAGACTGGATCCTTTTTGAAATGAGGCTTGATCTATAAATGCCACATTTTATATTATTTTAGCCTAGTCAGCAACTCATAAAGAAAACAATGGAATACCTTCAGGAAATTATATTTTATTCAGCTTTCTAGGCCCAATTTCTACATTTTAAGTGATAAATTTGGAAGTGTAATTTAATCCCAATATAACTGCTGGCTGCTAAAGAGGGAATTGGTAGAATCAAAAGAATTGAAAGCAGAAAAAAAGGTGGGGGGTGAGGGGTGGGGGGCGGGAGGGTAACAAGAAAACCTGCAAACAAAATCTCCGTATAGGACTTGTCATTAGATACTATAATATAAATATACAATGATTCTGAATTTTCCATTATCCTAAAACCGGGAAATTACAAAATCTTCCAAATATCTTTGTATGGTCATTAATGATAAATGTTGCCAAATGGTAAGCACAAAACACAAAAAGTATGTGAATAATAAGCAGTCACTTCCATGGGTTTAAAGTTATTTGTGCTGCATATAGCGTACATCCTACTGTACAGCATTGTGCTTTTCTGTATGCTAGCGTTTCTTTGAAAATGGAAGTAGTGGAATAGTTTTATGGGAATTAGGTTTTTTAGAAAACAGGAAATGATGGAGGTTTTTTCTGTTGCCATTGCATGTTGTTTAATTAAATCCCACTGTAATAATTGTCCCTATAATAACCCTAATAAATAAAAAAAGGCAATAACTATTCCTAGTAATGTGGCAGTAGTAGCTGTCAGCGAGAACCCAATTGTGCTAATAGCTGTACAAATGAAAAAAAAAAAGGTGCCTCTTGCCTCAAAGAGATTAGATTGAGTATTTCATAGCTCCTAGCATACTTCTCAGTGATTAGCATGTTGCCATTGCATCAAAGATCATCTTCTTTTATTCCTCTGCACAGCACACATGACAATGCTTTTTCCCCAGAGGAAAAATACAGTGATAAGTGTGTTCTGAGAGCTCTGATGAATATTTTAAATGAGTCTTTTGCCTTTATTTTAGAGATACCTTCACTGGGTGGAGAAGTGTAAGCTGGAAGGAGGGAAAATCATGACCTTGCTTCATTATGACTGACTTAACTGTGTCTGCTGCTACTCAACTGCTGGAGCACTGACTACATTACAGCACCTGGCTGTGGGACAGCTGAAGGGTCCCTCTGCCTGTCACCCCCCTCTAAATGGGCATCTCTGTGGGCAGCAGTGCTCTCAAGCTTGAAAAGGAAAAGGGTTGGAATGAAAGGTGGAAAAGTCCTACATCAGGGTTCCTACAATGTGTGTTATGAATAAAAAAAAATAAATATCAGTCTGTATACAGACTGATGCTCTTTGAACTATGAAGAAAAATATCTTATTTTCTTCACTGCTACTTAATTACATAGTGTCCTTAATTTTTATTGCATAATGCTTTTTTATTTAATCCATCATTGGGTAATCCATGGTTCAGACAAAGTCTGAGGTTTTGAGAACTGCACATACCACTGAGTGTTTGAAGGCACAGACACCCATCTATTAAGGCATCTAAAATCAGATACTACTGGTGAAATAAAATGCTCAGTGGCTTGCTCAAAGGCTTAGAAATTTTCTGTGATAGAACCGTGAACTGAGCTCAGACTTCCAGACTCCTTGTCTTGAGCTGAAATATAAACCTGTCTTTTTTCTCCAGGAGAGACCACCTTTTCATAGGTTTTAAGGTGTGGGTAACACCACAGGATGTTCACACACAGCACTAGGTAGCTGCTGGTGCCACTGTTCAGAGCAGTGAAACAGAGGTCATGACCACTCATCAATAAAATCTCAGGGCCTCATCTGTAAAAGTAATGGCACCAGAGTCAGCTGCATAGGTCCAATTCCAATCTGAGTGATTACAGTCCATCCCTCTATAGTTTCTTTTCAGTTTAGTTTGAATATGATCTTTTCCTTCAGCTTTGTGTCAAATCATTCTATTCTGTTGGTGCTCTCCATAAATTCACCACTGCCTTCCTCCCCAGAGAAAGATAACTGCTTCTGCCCTGTATAGATATTACACATAAATCCTAAGTAGTGGTGACTGTCTAAAGGGGATCCTTAAATGAATAGATAGAAATCATTACCTAATATTAGGCTGCTGCACTGCTGATCTTCCCTATGATTGATCACATATATAGTTTAATTTTTTTGCCATTGGATCTTAACATGGAGAAGTTTCCCTAAGCTTCCTTCTTCCTCTTCACTGCATGACACTGAAGTGGACAAGCAACAGCCTAGCAGTTGATAGTAGCTGTATATGTCTTCACCACTTTTTTTGGCAATCCAATAATCATAACATGCTTTATTTTTAAA